TTTCAGTAGGTGGCAGCACCTGGCTGGGCTCAAAAGCTAAATTGGGTTTGGCCTGGTCAAATGTCCATGAATTAACCTGAAGATTTTTCTTATTCCATTTCTTTTTCTTTTTCTTTCTTTTTTGGCATCACCTTATAATTCCATATGCCCTGATTTGTTCTGGCAATATTTTTTACTTCACCATACTTTGTTTGTAATCAAATTAAACATATCAAAAACTTCAAACTCTCACTAAGCGTATCTAAATTAGGCTAATCCTCTGAACAGGAAATGTCGCTATTATTCTTGCGGTTAAGAAGGAGCCCATGTCAACAGATCATTATTGCATTACTTTTGTGTATTGACTTTGAGGTGTCTTGGAAATTCTAAAATGTAAACATTCAAATCCAAATCTAGATACAAAATTTAGTTATAGATCTCTGCATTCTTCCTCTCAGCTACTTTGCATTTCCAATTAGCCTAACCATAAACGTCTTAGATGCTCAATTTCTCAGATACCTCCTTTTCCCCCCTCCATAATTCTCATTATAGCATCTAACTACCACTCCATACATAGACTAATCTCTCTTATTCTCTTCTCTTCTTAAATGGCCTTTTCCCATTCCATTTAATCCTCCCCTTTTCTCTTTATTTCTGTCATTTCTCATCCTATATCTATTTTCCATTGAGTTCAGTGGCAACTGCACACATTTTAGCTTTCACTCTTCAGGCTAGTTATAACAGCCTGACAAAAGACATGAATGATACAATTCTTTCAAAAAAAGAGGAGTAAGAGCAAAGTAATGCTCTCTAATCCCAACTGGATAGCTTCTCCTGACACTTAAGTGAATAGGTAATTGAACTACAATTAACATACCCCAACCAATGTATCTTGGTAGATTTACCTTTTTTTTATTTTAGAGGTACATAAAAAACACCTTGTGATGAATGATAAAAACTGACTGAGAAACTGCTTGGATTATTAAGCTTTTAGTATTATATCTATTATGATATTATTCTCTAGGATAAAAAGATTAGTTTGCTGTATTGCAAATTACTATAACTATTTCCAAATAATGTATTTTACCTTTCAGAGACATTATCATTTGATTGTTCATACAGTACAAATCTTATTTTCAGATAATTTTTCTCAAGCATTCTGGGGGAAATTCTATTTCATATATCATATGAACAGGAATTCACAAGTATTACTTTAAATAAAGAGAACAATTTAAAATTAAATATATTCTGTACTTAGGAATTTTATTAATGATCCTACAAAAAGGATCTAAAACTGCCTTTGAGTCACAAAGATCTTAGGAGGAAAAAAGGAAGGAGGATTGATGCTACCTTAATGCCAAAATAAACTGGTTGGAGTAACTAATGTGTATAGGGATGTTTGAGAAGTCCTAGGATGTTACAAGATATACAGAGTTTTATCTGACCTTTGCAGGTTCCATAATTGCTGTAACCTTACCAGAGGATGGTTAAAGGGAAAAATCAAATCACCTGGGAAAGGGGAGGGCGATACATACATTTAACAGTACAGTACAATGACTTACTACTATGTTAAATAGGCTTCTATCCTCAGCTAATTTTCCAGCTATAGAGTATATTTCATCTGATTGCACATGTTAATTTGCAATCATTCAGTTTAAGTACTCTTGTTCCTGGGATTATATTAGAGCAGACTGCTACATATGCCACCTTGAGCTGAGAAATGACAACATATAGATGCAACATTTTTATAATGTATAAAAATATTTGGGTACTTAAAGATCTTAGTAATCACTGCAGTTGAAAAAGCTTCAAGGTTCTAAATTCTTTTTAAAATATTTTTTTATCTCATTTTAATAATGCTTAGTCTTTAGCAGACAGGAAGAATGTACTGTTTGCCAAATCTTTTGCTTCCCTTTACTAATTCTATATAACTATTATAAACATCCATTTAAATGTGCTGGCACTTATGATCCTTCCTCAGAAGACAAACATATTAATTATAAAACTTTACATGTGAAAGAAGAATCCAGAATATATCATTAACAAAACACTCCATTATCACTATGTATTGAGCAAAGCAGATATACCTCTAAATATTTTGCAACATTGATTTTCAATAAAAAATGGTTATCCATAAATGCTATTTAGCATGTGACACTGCAAACCTTTTAAAGCTTGAAAATAAATCACTTCATCAAAATAACTGCAATACCTGCTGAGGTGCAGAACATCCTGTCTAACTTTTCTGAGTAGATATCTTTTAATTAAATGTAATAGCCAATTCACCATGTCCTATTTATAAAAACTGCCCCAAACATGTCAGAACAGCAGCCTATATGATATAGTCTGGGACTTGCTTTGGCAGCTACTGCTGTAGTTTCTTCATTACTGAAGCATTGTAATTATTTCCTTTCATCTGCCAGGCTTTTTTAAGACAAACAGAAAAAATCTACTTTTAGACCATGTCCAGACACGTAGATGATTCCCCTTTACCTACAGCTAAACTATTCTGCTTCAAACTTTTCAACATGTTTTTATCTCCTCCAACCTAAGATATCGACCCAAGCAAATATCAAATTAACTGGTGTTGGCAGCTCAAATAGATGAACAGCGGCAATCCACATAATTATTAGATGCAAACCTGGGGAAAAAATATCTTAGCAATTGTTCTGTCCCACTGCCCTTCAATGTGATTTCAAATGGTAATTGACACACCCAGTAATTTAGCTGTACCAGACAGTTCTCTCTGGCCCATCATTAGGAAAACACAGCATTTCTATTGCTTAAACTGATGGGTATTTTAAGAGGTGGGGGTACTTGCAACTTCGTATTAACAAGAGGTTTTCTAATGCTTTGTAAACGCTCCACAAAAATACCACCAGATTAATTTTCTGACAACAGCATTTATTTTAAAAAGCCATAAAATGTTCCTTAGCACAATGCAGATTTAACGTTTTCCCTCAATCCACTGTCTCTGAATCTCCCAGAGTTTCCTCAGCACTTAGTTTCCAAAGCTCTGCTTCAAACATATAAAAGAATGCTACAGTACTAACCTGGATTACGTTAGAATAAAACTTGGCATAAATATGTTTGAAAGGGAGGCGTTAAGCAAGCTGTCCCCTTGCTAAGGGGGATAGGCCACACAGCAATCATTTTTGCCTTCAAAACCAATCTTCAAGTAGAGCATTGTGACTAGAATCTAACCTGATCCTACGTAATGCATGTAGTACAGACCGTGCTCCCACATATTCTCTGCAGTAGTCAGGCAGAGAGGCTGGCTGCTAGATAGATGGTCCGGTGACCTTTGAAAGCTTAGACAAGAAGAACCAATCTATTGCAGCTGGCTTTCAAGGCATTCCTCACATTCCTGCCCTATCTGAAAGCTCCAGGAACAAACAAGTCTCCCCCTCCCCAACCAATAAAACTCACAGGCACACACCTGCCTGTCCAGAGCACCACAAGCTTCCATCCACACACACAGCTGTGTTATACTCCTCAAATATGTAGCCAGAGCTAGGTTACCCCCTTGCTCTTTTTGCCTTCTCCCTACAAGGCAACTGCAGAAGTCTGTTGTTGAAGTCTACTGAGAGAAGACATGCTAAAAGCTCTCCGTGGATTTGCTCCCCCAACCGGGTTGCAAGTAGCTCTAACAAGCAAATGAGAGAAAATACAAGACTGGGCAAGGTTGAGTGAGGAGAGGCTCACCAGGTTGAGAGAGAAGGAATCAGAGGGCCAAAAAAAAAAAAGGTGGGGGGTTTTTACTCACTAATAGGGAATCAAGAGGACTAGAATAAGCCCCTTTAAGAAAGACTAAAGAAGCAGACCATTACTACAGTGGCAACCTGAGAGAAAACAGAGATGAAGGAAGGAACAGAGCTTGTAAAAAGCATTTAAGAGACATGTAAATAGCCAGGGAAAAACTGAAAGGGTTTTTATGTTTTATCTTAAACATGGGAGGTTTAAGAAATGAAAAAAAAAAAAAACCTAGAGAGAAAACTAACAAAATGCAACATTTGTGAGATAAAGAGTGACCATTTTCACAGAAATCATAAGCTATTCGTTTTAATTCAAGGACAAAGCTAAAAAGGGGAGCAATGCATTTAAGATAACTGTTCACTGGGTGAAGGACATTAGGTAAGCCTTGCTTAAAGAGAAGGGACAGGAAGCTTTAGAAGCGATAAATAATGCTATATAAAATGTAGTGTTTTTAAGGAGGCAGCTTTGGATAATTCTGAGGAACAGCATTTAAGCACAAAGGTAGAAAAGGCTAAGTAAAAGAGCTAAGTAAAAGCTAGGAGAAAGGTACAGTATTTTAACACAGGCATCCAAATATGCAAGGGCAAAGGAGACAAGGAATAAAGAGTGGGAAATCTGCAATAAAGGAAGTTGATAAATTAAAAAGGGGGAGGGGAGTATTTAGGTGGAGCCCCTTTACAGAAACAGGGAGAAGACAGAAAAATATTTAGATTTGTCATTTTAACACAGAAGGAAAAAGATACCGAGAGGATGCATTACTGTATGTAGCAAGTATAATTAAAAAAAAAAGAGAGGGGACCCAAAACTAAAACGGCAACCGCAGGAGGGACTGAAGCAGATAAGGAAAGGCGCAGGCGAGCAAAGGAAGGTAGTGACTAAAGAAAAAGGGAAAAAAGAAGTAATGTGCTTCATTATTGAGAGTTAGACAAGTTTCTTTAAAAAGTGGGGGACGACAGAGACCCGAGAGAGGCAGAGCAAGACGGGAAGGAAAAGTTAGCAGCAGGAGGAGGGAGCTAATCCATCCAAGCAGGAGGAAGTGGAGGGGCAGGTAAAAGCAAGGAAAAGAGCGGCGGGGACCGGACGGAGCGGGACAGGCTCAAAAAAGACTCCCACCTCCTCAGCGGGTTTTCCGGCAGGCCGTTCCCTCCGAGCCCCCCAGCTGCTCTTCGCCCCCCGCAGCCTCTCTCCGGTGCGGACCTCTCGGCTCTTTCTCCCCGCTCGGGGAAAGAGAGAGCGCGCGAGAGAAGCCGGGAAGGGTCACTCACCGCCTTGACTGAGCCAGGAGCCCCTCCCCTGCCGGCGCTGGGTCTTCGTGGGCGCGGAGGGGCCGCGGCCGCCCCGCCGGGAAGGGCCCTACCCCGGGGTGTCCATGGTAGGCAGACTAACGTGCCAGAGCCGAACAGCACAAATTCTTCCTCCTCCTCCCTCGCAGTCTCTCCTCCCGCTTCTTCCCGCCCCTCGCACCCTCCTCCTCTCCCTCTCTCCGCTTCCCCTCGTCAGACGTCAATAAGGCGCCCTGCCCTATGCCTCGTTCAGATTGGCGGAGCGGGCCTCAGCTCGGATCCCGATTGGACGTGACCTCCTGTTAAACTGGCCAATGGATGCCGCACCTGCGGTTGCTTAGGTTACCGATGCTGCGAAGAGACCGGCCGACGGGTAGGGGAGCTGCAGTTCCTTCAGGGGAGGCGAGGCGGGGTATTTGCGTTTTTTTCTTGGGGGCGGGTTGGTGTGTTTTGTTGTGTATGCGAGGAACACCGGGGAAGGATGAATGTGTGGATGGGAAGTACAGGCAAAATGGCTATATGGTATAGAAAGGGGAGGTTCCTATATAGAAGCACTGGGGGAGACAACGTTGATTTTAGCGCATCTGTGCCCAAAGTAAACCCCAACGGTTTTAGTGAGATTTGCTCTTTATTTAGCAAATAATGCCAGTGGAATTGCAGTGTTTTATTTTTAGTTTTTTCTCTTGTTTGCTCATACATCTAACATTCTAGCTTCCAGCCAATATTTTTTTTTTTTTGAAACCTAAGTTACATTCCCTCCTAATTGTTATAGCTGGGGTGAGGCCAAAATGGTTTTATCGTAGGGCACTAAACTTAGTTTTTGGAGATTCCCTTAATTGCTAAAAATTTGTATGGCTGCTTTTCAACAGAAATGTGTAATGAATGCCTACTGCAAAAACTTCCTCACTGTTTCTTCTTCGTTGGCAATATCCTAATAAGACAGTTTTGCCACCTTACAGTTGAACCTTTTAATATATATTGAAATTAGTTTAATTATTGTTGCTGTGGAGGTAATAGATGTTATTTTGAATACTTGTATTGCAGGGTAAATGTATATGGATGCAATAAATCATTCTTACTTTCTTTAATTTCTGGGTACTGACTCTTAAAAAACATTCCTGTTGCATATGAATCAAGTGCAGATTTTGAGCATATTGAATCTTTTAGTTCTAACTATATTGCAATTATTGCTGAAAGCTAATTATTAAGTGGGCAGCTGTATGTAACAGTTATACTATATGTGTGAAGATAATTGCATATGTAGATACTTAACAAGGTCATCTAAGATGTTGGAATAGTATCTATTTCACAGGGTGCTTGCTAATAAGAGATCTTCAGCTTATAAGAACATTAGCATGTGATAGGACAATTCGTGATTTAAAGTATCACTGCTCCTACTCCTTAGTGTTCTTGATAATTATGAAGCAAGATTTTAAATGTTTCTGAATATGTGGAGTTGCAGCTGTTTTACATACATTATAATTATAGCCATTCTCAAATCAATGAACTTTCACATTTAAAAAAAACAACAACAGACCATCAAAACAACGCCGGGAGGAGGTACTTGTATAAAAATGAGTAAGAATGAGGAAACACTGTGTGTTTATAGCAAAAATTTGACTTGGCATTTCTTCCCTTCCCTTGCACATAGTAATTATTTATTTTACTTATATGCCCCTGCAATATGATGGTTTTTGTCAGCTTCCATGCAGTAAAAATGTAAAAACATCCATAGTGTGATCAAAAGATAACATAATAAAAGCCCCAAAATAAAATCAATGAATGTGAAAACAAAAGTAAGAAAATAAAAGGAGGCATGGTTCTTAAATGAAAATGCAAAATATCCTTTCTAATAAATCTATTTTTGAAATCTTCCTGAAGATCAACAAGAAGGATGCTGACCTGACCTCCATTGGGAATCATCAGTGTTGCCACAGAAAAGCAAAATCCTCTAACTTCAGCCCTTCTCACCTTTTGGAAGTGTGAGATCAGAAGTGGGTCAGATTGATTCCAGCTACAATAGGCAGTCCTGCAGGTACCCAGTGCCAAGCTATAAAAACCTCTATAAATCAATACAAGCACCTTAAATTGTACCTAGAAACTAACTGACAAACAATGCAGGGCCTGCAGAATCAATATATTTCCAGCTAAGAGAACCACTGAGTATACAGGCTGCTGCATTCTGGAAAAGTTGCATTTACTGAGCAGTAAATGCAAGTAAGGGCTACTCAGAAATATGCCATAGACTTGGACTCTGCAAAGCATCTGTGAGGACCTTGGAAAAGATATTCAGGTGCCCTGATTTGATTATATCTACAAAACACTGTGAGTAATAGTGATACTCAATGGCAGTGAATGTTGGACTTTAAAGAAGAAAGATAGGAAGAGTATTGATGCCTTTGAATTGTGGTGTTGGAGAAGATTCGAGAATATCATGGACAATCAAGAAAACAAACCGAGGGATCATTGATCAAATCAATCCAGACTTGTCTCTTGAGGCACAAATGAGCAAGCTCAAATTATTCTACTTTCAACACATTTTGCAAAGATTTCACCCTCTGGAAAAAGATTCCAGTGGTAGAAAAGGTGGAGGGAAAGAGAAGAAGATGACCAAAAGCAAGGTGAATACACTCCATTACATGGTGATGTCTGCATGGGGAGACTTGAAAGAACAGGTTAAGGATAAATCATGGAGAAAATCTAGCTATGTGATCACGAGGAATCAAAACAACCTGATGGCACGTAATCATTTTAAGGAACAGTCTTATTTAAAGTGTGTTGTAGTCCGATGTTGTAGTCCAGGGTAGTTCCAATGGGGGCATATGTAATTGGAGCCTAGTTCCTCCTATACTGTGGTGTTACATTTCACACATCAAAAGCCTTCTAGCCATGGCCTCTACCTGCTGTTCAGGCAGGAGTCATGAGTCCAGAAAAATCCCCAAATGTTCCTGTGCCCATGTGGAGATGATGCTGGTGTCATCGGAAAAATCCAATGTACAAACAACAATTCTGTCTACCTGAGTTCCATTTCAGTCTGTTTTTACCCATCTTGGCTCTTACAGCCTCTAGACACCAGGACAGGATAGCCACAGCAACTGCTCCACAACCTGCAGTGGTGGTATAAAGTTGGGTATCATCAGTGGACTGTAGTCCCACCATTTTTTATTATAGGATTTTGTAAAATCCTGCCTTTATTTTTTTTAAAAGTAACTAGGCGGCGAACATACCTAATGTGGTACTTCTTTCTATTTATTTATTTTATTTTTTATTTATTTGATTTGCCAATTGTTTACAAGATAATAAGTATAAGTGTATACATAGTTGTGAATACATGAAATGGGTACATATAAGAAAAATAAAAGAAGAATAAGAGAAACAATAGGACAGGGACGGTAGGCATGTTGGTGCGCTTATGCACGCCCCCTACAGACCTCTTAGGAAAGGGGTGAGGTCAATAGTAGACAGTCTAAGGTTAAAGTTTTTGGGGTTTGGGGAAGAAACTACAGAGTCGGGTAGAGTATTCCAGACATTGACCACTCTATTGCTGAAGTCGTATTTCCTGCAATCAAGTTTGGTGCGGTTTACTTTGAGTTTGTATCTATTGTGTGCTCTTGTGTTGTTATGGTTGAAGCTGAAGTATTCATTGACAGGTAGGACATTGCAATGTATGATTTTATATACCATGCTTAAATCAGACCGAAGACGGCGTAATTCAAGGTTTTCTAGTTCTAGAATTTCAAGTCTGGTGGCGTAAGGTATTCTACAACGAGTAGAGGAGTGGAGAACTCTTCTTGTGAAATATTTCTGGACTTTCTCAATTGTGCTAATATCAGATACGTAATGTGGGTTCCAGACTGATGAACTGTATTCGAGTATTGGTCTAGCAAATGTTTTGTATGCTCTGGTTAGTAGTGTGATATTACCAGAGAAAAAGCTACGTAGGATTAGGTTAACAACTCTTAATGCCTTTTTGGCTATGTAGTTGCAGTGGGCTCTATCACTTAGATCATTAGAGGTGAATATTCCAAGGTCCTTTACAGAGCTTGGGTCATCAACAAGATCTTGACTATTCAGCTTTTTTTATTTTCTGATTTTTTTTTGCCAATATGTAAGACAGAGCATTTATTTGTTGAGATTTGAAGTTGCCATTTGTTTGACCATTCTGATACATAGTCAAGATCTTTTTGTAGGGTAGCAGTATTGTCTGTGGTATTGAACAGCTTTACATCATCAGCGAAAAGAATGCAATTGCTCTTAATATGATCACAGAGGTCATTTATGTAGAGTATGAAGAGAGTTGGTCCTAGAACACTGCCTTGGGAGACACCACTATTGACAGGTACAGAATTTGATAGGACGCTCCCAATTTTGACCATTTGTTGTCTGTTTGCCAGGAATGCTTCTATCCAGTTATTCAGTTGTCCAGAGATACCATAGGATTTTATTTTTAGGAGTAGTTTGTCGTGTACCACTGAATCAAAGGCTTTACAGAAGTCTATGTAGATTGCGTCTATTGCTTTGCCCTGGTCGAGTTGTGTCGTCCATATGTTTTTGCTGTGTAAGAGTTGCAGATTACAGGATAGTTTTTTTCTGAAACCAAATTGTTTATTGGAGAGTAGGTTGTTTGTCTCTAAGTGGAGGATGATGGATTGGTTAATAATTGATTCCATGACTTTACAGGTGACGCAGCATAAGGAGATTGGTCTGTAATTTTCAACTAGGCTTGGGTCTCCCTTTTTGAAGATGGGGATGACTGTGGCTTGTGACCATAGGTTAGGCAAGGAGCTGGTCCTGAAAGATTTTTCAAAGATTATGCTTAGAGGTTTGGCTATGGCAGTGGATAGGTTTTTTAAGAAGTAGGCACATATTCCATCAGGTCCAATAGATAGAGATGGTTTTAGATTGCGTAGTGCTTTTTCAACATTGTCTTCTGTAAAATCGATATGTATTAGATCATTGTTGTTATCTGTGGTACGGCTAGGAAATACTGGGCATGATCCATTGCTGTTTGCAAATACTGAGCTGAAGAATGTGTTAAAGATGTTGGCTTTAGTGGTGTCGTCGTTGCAGTCTTTACCATCAGGTCCTATCAAGGGTGGGATAGACCTTGAGTCTTTTAGTTTGTTGTTT